GGTCACTCTGTACGAGCACAACAAGGTCACATTCCTATCAGCTGGTCTGCAATCCGTTTGTCCCAAGCACATTTGTATAGTTATGTCGATGGCGTAATTGTACAACGAGAGATTTGTCTACGTTGAACGGTAGGGCGTTTTGAAGTGACCAGTTCGACACTGTGTTAAGATCGCACTAGAGCCGTTCATGGTCGTCCGGTCCTCTGATCCTTCGCAAAATCTTGATATCATCAGTGAAACATAGGAAATCGGAAGCAATTGATCCCGCCAAATGGTTAATGAACACCTTGAATAGACGAGGTCCAAGCACCGAGCCTTGTGGTACACCACACACCACATCGATTGCATCGGACAATGCTTTTCGGACTCTCACCTCCAGCTGTCGATCGTGTAAAAAATTGTCATTCGAACTCAGGCTTGGGTCGCCAATGCCGTAGTTCCAAAGCTTCTGAAGAAGAATTCGATTTTCTAAGCGATCAAATGCTTTTGAAAAGTCCAGGTAGGTGACATCGACTCCTGCTCCATCATCAACAGCTTCAGTCCAGCTATTACGTGCAATTAATAAGTTAGTATTAAGTGAACGCTTTTCACGAAAGTCATGTTGCTCTGGGGCTATTAAGGTGTGGCTTTCCAGCTCATCTGCGATGATTGACTCCATAAATGTGGATAGTACTGGAAGTAGTGTTATTGGACGGTAGTTGGCAGGATCAGTGCGGCTACCTCCTTTATGAATAGGAGTGATGACTCGTCGCTTCCATACTGGTGGAATACGGTCCTCCTCTAGACATCGCTGATAGAAACCATCCAGTGGTACTGCTAGATCACTAGCTACTGCCTGTAGAGCCTTTGGTCGGATGTTGTCAGCTCCGGGAGAACTGTGGATACGCAAGGATAACAACTTTTTCAATACAGCTTCCGCGGTGGAAGTGATGTTTTCCAAAGCAGATGGTGGAGTAGTAGAAATGAGGAGAACGTTTGTGCTCGTTACCTCCTGGAAAGTTCGGGAGTAATTAAGCCGTAGGAGATCAGCTGCTTCCATTGCTGCTCGTGTGCACCCATCAGCCGTGACTAATGCTGGAACCCCTCGTTTTACCTTTCGAAGGCCGTTAACGTGCCTGTACAGAAGCTTGCGGTTCGTGCAGAATCGCTTCATTAACTTCTGCTGATGAGTGACCTTGTCTTCGCGGATCAGTTTCACACAGAAGTTACGATGGGTCACGTATGCCGTCCAGGTTTCGGCATTCGGGCAGTCCTGGTGACCTCGCCATGCCAAATCCCTTCGGGACATACTTTTACGTGTTCTGCTCCTCAGAAAAGACTTATCCTTGTTTTTAGGTTGGAAGGACTTCTGTCCTGATGCGTGCGCAACCAGTGTACTAAACGTCCTTGTAAATGTCTCCCAAGCAACCTCTGGGGGGCATTCGGTTAAGAAAGTCCCAGATGTATCCTCAACAAGCTTAGACAACACATTGTAGTGCGTGACATTAGGCACTTTATCATCCACCTTTTCAGGATGCTCCGCATAGCATATATCGTCAAATAGTAGAGTATCATGGTCACTATAACCCAGTGGTGTGCTTGTAACTATCTCGTCAACCATGAATTCTTCGTTAGTGAGTGGTAAACTAGGCAAAAAGGAGCTTTTGTTGTTGTTGCTCTTCCTTATTAATTATACAGTCTTCCTATTCAGCCATGATTTCGATGGCACAATATCTGTTCCACAGATTGTGTTATATATATATATATATATACATATATATCGATGGTTTGTTAGCATTTAGGAAGCTTGTGGGATAGATTACGTATTTAACGTTTTGATTCGTTCTCCGAGCTGAGTAATTTAATGACAAATATTTCACCACTTCCCTCAATGGCATCTTCAGTGCACTGATCTGTAGAGTTAAATCTCACGGAATGTGTCGTCGGGAGTTGCGTTTGAAATTAGCCTAGTCCATCTGTGTCGTGTGACCTCTGTTTGTTCGATATTTGGCCGTCCAGTTTCACGCTGTCTCAGCTGTAGGTAGACAGGATCGAGGTCAATGGGGGGGTTCAGTGAATTATCCGTAGAAAACCATGCACGAGGAATTTGCTTCCTTTTCTTGTCCCACCGTGCGCCAGGATTTCTGTTTGGTCCCAGTTAACGTTGCGTCCTTCCTCATCGAGATGCGCTGAGCTCTGTGACGATACATGATGGTATCGACATGCACGATTGTGCTCTTGTATGCTTATGGATAGTTTTTTCCCCGTTTGACCAACATTGTCTTTGTCACAGTTCTCGCATTGTATCCTCTAGACGACATTTTTGCGTTCTTGTGCCTCCAGTCATTCTTTAGGTCTAGATAATATGCTTTTCAACGTCGGTTGGTATGTCAGCTATCGTGAGATTGTGCGGTTTGAGGAGTCTGGCTGTATTTTCCGATACGTTTTTGGTGTACGGCAAGGCGATGTGTTTGGCCGTTGTTGGTGCAGGTGCGGTAGTTGTGCTCCTTCGCTTTAGGTGTCTTCGCATGAAACTGCATTGGTAGCCTTTGCGAAAGAAAGATATAAACAGATGTTCTCCTTCCTTTCGTTTTGCCTCTGCAGTATTGCAATGTGGAGGAAGAATTAGAGCCTCCTTCTCGATACTCTCAGACCTTGACTGCAAGGTTGAGCTGCACATAACGCCGTTTCCAGTCTCAAACAACGCAAATTCGATTACTCACACTGCAGGTCAACTTGTGGCACCAAGTATTGTGTTACCCGTCCAGATGGCTGTCGATCACAAAAAGGAAACTGCTTCGGAGGTCGTAACTAACGCTACCCTGATCGAAGCCGAATTGTTGGTTCAATGACCCATTAGAGTAAAGCGAAAGAGAGCCCGGAAAACCCGTAAGCTCACTGCTAAACAGGAAGTTGTTGTTGCCTCTGCACTGGAAACAAGCCTTGTCGTAATTTGTCAAGCCACCTGATGGTTGTACGAAGGCGAAGATTCCCACACGCACTACTTGTCACTCGAAGGTGCCGGAAATCTCGACTCTCACGGATACGGCACGCTTTGACGGTCTGCTTGATTCTGCTCAAAGCGTCACGGGACCCTGCTCCTGTTATCAAGAAGAAAAACAAGACCCTCTCTGCCATAAAGCCTTTTGGTGGACTAGGTGACCCGAAAAAATTAAGACCTCGACAATGGAGCAAAATCATACGCTGCCGTTACTACATCATCTGAGGGGATAACGACAGTCCCTACACCAGTGATGAAGCCACCTGACCCCAGTGTCCAATCAAAGACGCGTGGGTTAGAACAACACGCCGTGGTGATTCGTGCACGGATAGTAGCGTTATATTTCGTAACGCAGCTGAATCCACTGCTGCCCTTCCTGCTGAACGCGAGTCGGACGACGTACAGCAGTTTAAATCTGCTTAACGAAGCTTCTTGTGCCTGGTTTTCCAGGCGTTACTGTCAGGAAGTTGCTTAGACTGGGGAACGTCCCCGAGACGCGGCACAACCGCACACCCGTTAACAATGTTCTTTTGCAAACTACACCCCGTCGTGGTAATAATCTCCCTAACTTAATGACCCACAGCATTTGCTGTGCTTTGCCCTTTGTTGGTCGTAAAAGAACCTTCAGAGGACCACTAGCCTTTCTTCCCCTTCGCCGGTCGGGGCACATAATTTAGTGTGCATCGACAGTCGGGCAACGTCCGCGTCTAAGCCATTAGCGCGTCTACAATAACCACCCTCGTGTGCGCAGCCTCGTCCATTACGAGGGCTCAGCATCTACTCGATTACGTGCGGCTAGGAAGGTTCTCACGCTCGCTCAATTTCCCGTCTTACCAGCTCGTACCCGGGGCTAAGCTAACGCCAGCATGTCAGCGTAAATCCGTTCGACTGGCCAGCGTTTCAAGCTGTTATCGTAGATCTGCTCCAACCTTGCCAGTGACAACCTTATCAGACGTCCCTCAAACATAAAAGTAAGAGTACGAAGTTAAGGGCAACAACAAAGTAAAGTATTTGAACTATACAATTGCTGTCCCATTACTGAGGATTAAAGGGCCATCCAAGTGGTACAACAAACACGGAATGTTCCCTGGTGATCTGTGATACATAGCATCATCCGGTACGGTTTTTCTTTATTGGTAATGTCGACACTGATGTTAATAGCTTGCATATTCGGTTGCCGACCTGAGTCCGTCCGCGTACGCTGTTCAGACCCAATGGGTCAGGACGGTCCTTCAAGATTTGTTAGTTCCAACTCATCTATTCTGTTCTTTTAGTTAGTGACATTAATGTTTTCATTTTTGCTTGCTGCTCCTAATAAACTCAACGTTGTGGCTGTTTATTGCTTGTTCCATGGCTGGTGCGTGAAACGCTACAGCCGAACCTCTTAATATTGTATTGTATTCGGGTCCGTTTCGCTGCGGATGTGGAATCCACCTCACGTATTCCGTTATCCTTTGCTTTCCCTCTTATTTGAATACTGTCTGTATGTGATCAGCTGCAGCAACTAGTTCTACGAAGGAAATTGTTTCTTTTCAGAAGTTAATCCTTCCAAGTTACCAAGATTAGGCAGCGCATTTGATTTACTTTGAATACAATTCTTACAGTATCTTTTATTGGTACCCACCAGAAGTCATCTATTCATAGTGGATTTCTAGCACTACAATCCGCTCCGTCGTACGTTGTGAATATGGGTTTAGGGCTGTATGCAACAGACATTTCAGAGCCATCTCAAATATGCACTATTCTTTAATTTGTTCTGTGCCCTCTTCCATGTGGTTCCCTGTATCCCCTGTGGACACAGTCGGCTTTGTGAAGCAAAGGGAATGAGTTTGCAGCACAGAGTAATTTAGATGGCATGAACTCTAGTGGAGTATTCCAGCTTTGTCCTCTAGTCTGCGCTTTACTTCTGGGTTTCTTCCTTTTATTTATCTAGCTGGCCAAAGAATAGTACTACCGCAAGCATCTGGTTTCACAGTGATTCATGTTTACCATAAGAGATTAAATCATCGTAGATACTCACGAGGTTATTCGCCAAATGTAGACTCTGTAGGCGCTTCATTCCCGAAATTGTAACCGGTAAACATTTCAGCCGATTATTCGATATTGACAGTTTTTCCATGCACTTTAACTTCCCGATTTCTGGGGGCAAATACCGCAGCTGATTTGTGTCCAAGAGAAGTACTCTCAGGTTAAGAAGCCCACCTGAAACGGATGGTAAGAAATTGATGCCCGTTTTGTTCACATTCTTTGTACAGAAGCGAAGCTACCGGATTGAAAAGCGTAGTCCTGTAAATAAAATACTCAAAGCTCAGTACTTACCTGTCGTAATTGTGGTCACGAGATCAAATAAACCTATTTGCGGAGCTTCCAGTTATTCGCCCATTATCACGGTGCCTATCCTCTACTAGGAGGTGTCATTTCTCTTGGATCCAAACTAGCTTGTCTCCGTAATCCAACAGGAAGAAAGATCACACATTGCGATGAGCGCTGATAGGATGACACCACCGCATGTGCGTTAGCTGCATTGTTGAGTTTAGCTGACGGATCAACTTTATGAATGAGTGTGCGAATACGTCAGGTAAGGATTATATTATGTCAAAGAACAAAACTTATCAGGAATTTTACGCAGTCGGACCTTAAGCTGAACCAACATTTTAAAAGGTCCTTAGTTATGCAAGCGGGGCCGTGGTTATGTCGAATGATTACTAATGAAAGGCGGCGGTTTATGCCCTGGAGCGGGACAGTGACGGATGAAGCTGTGATTTTTATTGTCAATTTAAGTACTTACTGTTTTTATAAGGTAGGATGAGGTGAGCATACTGGATGAACGATGAAATTCATCAGGTAGCTGAAGTGTGTATCACAATCTATGACTTATTCCTCGTGTGTTTATGGTGCGGCCGAGCAAATTTCATGCATATTTGCAAACATTGGTCGAATTTGTGGGTATTTTGAAGATCCCAATCGTATAAACAAATTCTACTTCACGATAACAACTACCCAAAATTAGGAACTGTGCCAAATATCTTTCATACATAAAAGGGTCGTTGAGGTGGTCAACGCGCCCTCGATACTATAACCTATTCATCCAACAGACTATATTCTGGAACCTAAATCTCGGTACACTGAGAAGCGTGGTGAAAACAGTGGGGAAACAGTAGATTTGTTATGAAAACGACAGCGGGTTCACATCACGTCTTGTAAGGGAAATCAGTAAAGTCAACTATATATAGTTGAAAAAATAATGTGTTAGCAGACTCGCGGTACAGATTACGCCTACAAACAAATTAATTACGTTTTTGCATAACCGAAAAGTTTAATTGCATTCGTGCAATGTAGGTGAAGTAACAAACTATCAAGCCACTTTCTGGCTTCAGAAAACGTAGGAACGAATTCAGTAAACACTTTTATAGGAGCAATTAAGAACAGCGGAACTGCTTCAAATCATGAGCACAAACGTAGAAAATTAAGATTATCTGCGACTTGCCAGTAATTTGCCCCTTTGTTAAGTTCCTAAAAAATGGGCAGGTGACAGAAACTTGGTGCTCATCAATATGATATATTGCCCGATGTAACTGTTCTCGGAAGCTAACAATGGATAGATGTAAGTCCAACAGTTTTTTATAACTGCACCAGTTTCCTTCCCATAAGTGCTCCAGCAAACCGTTAAAAACATTGAGCAATCTTTATTCGAAGCACAGGGGATGGGAAAGTTATTGCACATCCGGAACTACTGGGTCATTTCGGTATCCTGATTATGTTGCAGGTTATTCAGACGCAATGTGGTAGCTTCAGAATAGGAAGTCACCGAAACGCAGAATACGGTACTTCATTATAAGGTCTACGCACCCTGGACGATAGGCCGAGGGATAGAGTCCACGTATTTTGTATCTGTCTTCGTACAGCAAATCTCAATAAATTATGAATGAGCCTGACAGCAACGTGTCGGATCCATTCGATCTTCTGAGCTTCACCTAACACACTTTGATCTAGCAGTGGCCTTATAACGGAAATGAAGAAGCCAGTAATGACGTTTTCAGACTAGATGCAGAAGTGTCTGAGCGACAGATGCATGCGCGTGCCTTCTCGGTGTTCCTGGTTGTGAAAAGATGGCGTAGCAAACAATCTCGTTTTTGGTGCTTCATCGTCAGGCCAAATATATCACGTTTAAATAGCTAATGTAGGAAAGGATGGATTGAATCACTGAAAACTGGAAGTGTCAAAGAGCCAAAAGCGGGTGTGATCCATTCGAATAGGTGTTATCTGGACAACACAGACGTGTAGCGGATTGCATCGAAACGGAAGTGTACCTGGTTGTGTTGTTCACGGATCTCAAATCAAACTTAGGTCCTTCATAGAAATTGCGGGAGGTGACGGCTGGCAGTCAGTCGTGTAGGTTTGATTGGCACCACTCTGATTTGTCTACGTTGACAATAAAAAACTTAATTTTGAAGACCAGATAGAGAGGAGTTTGATGTCATGTTGAAGTATGTCACAATAGCGGGGTGCTAAATCACTGACCACTTCTTCTGATCAAACGCGCAATACGTATTGTGACTATAGAAGCCGAAGTAGATTGTTAGCTTACAGCAGGAACAAACTAGGTCTCAGTACCGGGTCTTAAAGTGTCACTGGTCGAGAGAAACGTGCCGATCAGCTAGTCGTCTACCTCTGCCCACCACTTTCGTCCCGCAAGAAACTCGCAGATCTGCTGGCGCTGTAAGACACTAACGAAGCAGACTTGTGAAAGAGGACCTCATGATTTACTTGATCGAACGCACTAGAGAAATCTATGGAGATCACGTCACTATTCTTCCCGTGGTCTACTCTCTGCAACCATTCATGTGTCGCCACTAGAGGATTGCAAATGCATGAGACACTTGGCATTCAACTACGCTGCGAGGGTGTTAAGAAGTCTTCATACCACAGCAGCTCTAGCTAACCCTTCTTCAACATCTCGGCTAATATGGATAAAATGTCAAACAAATTGGACTGTCGTTCTCTAGTTTGTTGGGGCATGCGCCTTTCGGGATTGGCCTACAAGACAATTTTATTCAACCGGTAACAAATCTTTGTAAACAACAGGTGCCCCCATCATCGACAACAATTCATCTGGCAGGTTGGGAGGTGTCCTGGCTGAGTCTCGTAAACCGCGCAGCTGTGTGGCTGACGTCCTTTAAGGCACCTAAGTAGTCACGGGAAGTGAACGTTTGAGTGCGTTTACGCTGCGGGCCTAGAAACCTGAGTGATGAAAATAATTCTGGACAGAGCACAGGGTCATCAACCGTAATGGATTTGCACAAACCTGGTCCCGTTAGTTTAGACAAATGTTACGCGCAACCTGAGCTCGGTCCCTATTCACGCACGTACGCGGCTGACACACTGTGACCTCGGAAACAGACAACAATACGCACACGAAGGAGGGACCAGACGCACGAGACTTAGATGCACACGCAGCACCCAGCTAGAGCGGCGCACTCGTGTCCGCCGCTCTAGCCGTGACTACCCTTGACCACGCGGTTCCAAACCACCAACAATCGCAGACAAGAGAATACGAAGCGGACAGCTGAGATTGCTTTTACGACCCACAAAGGCCGAATCACATTTGTCACAATGGTTCACTTTGTGGGTACAATGAATCATCAAGTAGGGCGCGTGGTTTACCGAAGAATATTGTTCACTTTAGCCGGCGTGGTAGGATCCTGCAAAATTGTGGGCAGGAATTGAATTTTGTGTCTCGAAGACCACACGCTGGATTACATGACGCGCTCGCAACACCTCCCTTCGAAGATAATGTGCACCGCTTCTGACGAGGGTTGCGCTGGAAAGATTTCGGTGATCTTCAGATTCTTCCTCTCCGTCGGTAACCAGGGTTCTTAAGATGTTGCTGCGATTGGACGGCTTTGGCGGGCGTCTTCCGTTCTGTTGCAATTCCAAAGGTATCTAACAAGATGTGCATCGGCAGGTACACAGGAAGGCTGTTTGGCGTAGAAGTTTCTCTGTGACTGCGAGTGCCGAGACATGCTGGAGCGTATCGCCTCGATGGGACGTCATTGTTGCTTTGACCCAGCGTGGATAATCTGCCCGATAACCACGAGCGTATACCGGTGCTCTAAAGACGAATTCATTGTGCGTGGTGCAGGTAATATATTGACTTTGTGACTTTTTGGTCGGGATGGGCGCTTCATCTAGTGAGTGGCATCCTGGAGCGGCTGGATTTGGTGTGAGCCGAGAAGAGAGAAAGAACGCTTAAATGCATTCATCCACGGTCCTCTCCCCTCGGGATTTCAAGAGGGCCCTCTTGAAGATGTTAACAAATCTCTCCGTCTGACTATTGGGTTGGGGGAGATTAGGTGATGAGCGTATGTTGGATGCAATGCCGGCGAGAGAAGTCTTCGAATATGGAAGACGTAAACTGGGAGCGATTTTCGGACACCAAAACGTCGGAAAGGCCATGTTGACTGAAGCTTTATTGTGGACACCGTGGGGAATGCGGTGGGTGGGTTGAGGGTGACCACGGCAGGCCGTTTGGAGTAACCGTCGACCACAACCAGGGAGGAGATATCATCGAACGGACCATCATAGTCTATGTGCACTCGAGACCAAAGTTTTTCTACGGTTGCCAAGAAACTGGTGGTTGGTGTGATGGCATCTTGGCTACTTGTTAACATACTGAGCATCGGCAAACCAAATCTCGTTGGCAATGCCAGGCCAGTACACATAGTTGCGGGCATTTGCCTTCATTCTGTTCATAACAGGGTGAGCAGAATCGAGGTGGCGGTGCATGGCTTGCCGGAAGCGAGAAGGAACGACAACTCTATCCGCAGTTATGAGGCTGGAATCAACCGTGGAAAGGCAGTCGCGGCCTTGCTACAGTTATTTGAGTTCGTCAGAAAAAATAGTGTTTGGCCAGCGCGTCTGAACGTAAAAGACAGCATTCTGCAGGACAAGGTGTTGTGCATTTGCGCGACGTATGTCTGAGACGTATGAGAGTTGATGCCGAACATCCTTTTCTACGGAAACAGCGGCGATCATCATGTCATCTTCTGTAACACGTTTGGGAAATAGGCGCGCGAGTCCGTCGGCCTGACCGAAATCCCGAGTACGGTAATAACGGACTTCGAATTCGTCACTAAGAAGGATGACAGCCCAAATCTGAAGTCGGCTAGCCGAGTACGCTGAAATTCCCTTCTTAGAACCAA